GTTTATATTTCTTTGAATTATTTTTTTCTAGAAAGAATAGTTTATAGTACCAACCAACATAGTAATATATATTTATTCATATAACTTATCACCTTGTATAAATTTAAATTATTTTTTTATGTGGTTTGTTATAAGAGGAATATCTAGATTATGTTTTCTTGCACACATATTTTCTATTAAATACTTGAGAGTAGATTTCCAAACAAATACATATAACACTCGTTCTTTTCAAATGAATTTATAAAATTGGAAATAAACCAACAAATTATTATATTAAGTTTTTTTTACTCTTAGAACTTTGTATATCAGGCAGTTATACAGTATTAATTTTAATTATCAAAAGCAGTCATGCTTAAAGTTTTCATCATTTTGATTACCTTGTTTCAAGATACATTATCAGGGAATGTAATTATTATTCAAACACCAGATATTCTCACCATCTCTTACATCAAAAATAATCCAAATTTCTATGACTATTGTGACCAACAATTGGAAAATGTAGTAAGAATAAATGAATATCATTCATTTACGGCTTGTAAAGGATTAAGTGATTCGGCAAATAATGATCTACCTACCAATTTTTCAAACATGAATGGTATAGGTGAAGTCTTTGATAAATAAGCTAGAAGCAAAAAATACAGAGGATACATCCATATTCCCAGTTTTAACATTAAATATGATGCTAAAGGTTATCTTGTCTCGGCTAATCCTCGAGATTCTAACTATCATAATCAAGAAAATCCAACTAAAAATCTAGAAAAAATCGCCGATGCTAAATGCAATCCTTATAGCTATACAAAAATTCCTCAAGCACCTTGGGGAACCTATTGGCTTTATCAAACTTGTTCTGTTGGATATGAACAGGCTGATATTTATATGGAGAACCCAACATTCAATGGGTTTCAATCCAAACCAATCAATAGTAATACTTGTCTGAATATTCATAATTTTAAAACTAGTCAATTATCTCCTTGTGCACAATGTGCTTAACAGGAAATGACAAAAATGGATATGCCATTTATTTTCACTAGCGTTAACATGAAAGTTTGTTGTGACTGTCAAGTTTTTATTACTATTGATCATAGTATTTTCTCCCAAACCTATCTTTATATTGATAAAAAAACAGTTGGTGAATGAGAACAGACTGATCTTGGCAAGTTTATCCAGTTTGGGGCAGTTAGCCAGATCTTTCTAAATTATTTAAAGCTAGTTATGAAAAAATTGCTCATTCTGGTAAATTATTAACATATAATAAAAAGTTGAAAAGGTAATTCCAGCATAATACAATAAGAGAAGTATTTATTTTTGGTTTTATTTATTTGGTATATATTGAGAATAGCTCTATATTTTTATATTTTACTCTACAATATATATGTATATTCTATCTTTATTTCTGAGAATAATAAATAGAATTGTATCACTATAGCTTCAGAAAAGTAACAAATGTAAAATTTATTGTACAAGAAGCAGATTACATAATTTACAGTATCATTTTTTTATATATTGGATCTGAATATCGTGAAATAACATTCATTTTCGAGCTAGAATTCATTTACAAGAAAGGACAAACCAAAAAAAATCACGAATCTATGTGATATCAGGTTTTTTAAAAACACCATAATTCTTATACTTGTGTAGATCCGGTTAAGATATAAATTTTGTTATACTAAATTTGGCTATTCTCTCAACAGTTTACATATTAACAATGCAACAATGTAATCCCAAATATAGAAAATATATAATTGTTAGTTGATCTATCATGTTTAATAATTGTAATGCCGAATTTAGTAAACACACAATTGTTTGTTTGTTAGTAATTATTATGATGCCAAATAAAAATTGTTAGTTGACTTGTGTTGGATTATTGCAATGCCAAGTCATTTATATTGTATATTGCTTCGTATCAGATTGTTATGTACTAAATAAGAATAAGTCATAATTTATAATAAAAGGGTTATCCTCACTACAAAGTTCTGTTCCGAATTTGTTAGTTTTTAAAAGAACATCTTAAAAATTTTTATTTTTGTTTTTATAAATCACATACTTGTATCAACATTATGTCGCTACAAAATATACCTACTATGTCAAAGGCCTCCAAGAGAAATTTGTATAAGAAAAAACTATGTACTATAAAAAAAGCTAAAATTGAAAAATCTGATAGCTTAATTGTCAGAGAGAGTATTTCCAATTCTAATGCTAATCATATCAAAGAAAGCATGAATATATTTTATGATCCTTTAAAAGTAGGTTAAATATCTTTTATTATATTTAGTTTTATAGTATAGTCTTCTTAGAGATACTTTTCGCCTTTTAAGGTAGGCCTAGGATCCGAGTATTCCCTCCTTATATAAAGTTATTTTTTCATCTCGGGCATGATCATTATCCTTGATGTGGGGCGTGTGTGAGGAGAAAGGTAATACAGACTTCATGGGTTTTAAACCCCCCAAACCACACCACTGAGAGTGATTCGAATATATCCACCAAGAAGATTTTATTACTATTTAACATAAAGTATTTTTTGTATATCAATTTACCAGTTTTTTAAATATATATTTTCTAGCACAAGACTTAAAGCGAAACCCGTCTATCTAAGAGCAAATCACGTGAATATATTCTATCTTACTGGAAATCCAAAGATTTTATGGTGAGTGATCTTAATTCAAAGAATGATTTGCAATCTATTTTTTTAATAGATCCAAAGATCACCTTTTTCGAAAAATTTGCAAAAAGAAGACAGCAATAAGAAGTTATTAAGATGCTACTAGACCAAGAATTGCTTCCATTGGATGCTGTAAAGCAAAACACCTTTTCCCTTAAATATGATGCTCTTTCCAAATTTGACCTAGAAAATATTTAGAGCGAATTATACAATTCAGAAAGATCACTACTACCCCAAATCACACAAATTATTCATCCTATTTTAACTACTTTTCAAATATCTGCTGAATTTATTGATTTACTAAAATTAGAAATTTTTGATCACACCAAATCTACAAATAAAAATTCTGATTTAGCATGAAAGCAATTCACTTTGTGGACATTTTTTGCAATCAGTCCTTCTATTGTAAAGCAGATTCGTAACTATTGTCAGTGCCTCTGGTCTAAGATAAAGCATGCATATTAGCAACATGTAAAAGCAGGAAAAGTTTTGCTAAAGCAAACAACAATATCTGAGATGCTTTGTCAAAATTTAAAAGACAAGCAAACTATTGCTAGTGTATTAACTAATAAGATGTCCGAGGAAGATGTTAATATAAAAGGATATCATCATATATTCGACTCACAATGTTTTAAGAATGCTCTTGGGGAAACAATAGTAGATTTATACACTTTTCAGAGTTCCAAGGTCACCAAAAGTGCAAAGATAGCAGTGGAACAATACTATGTTCACATGCTTGATAATCTGTCTCACCAGTCCAAAG